TGTCTAGGACATACACAGCTACACATAGCTTTTCCCACCCCCAGCAGCCCTAGACCACCCACGGCCACTTCTCTTCTACCTCCTTTTCCTCGCAGTTCAGGCCAGGCTGACTTGAGCAGAGGATGTGCGTGCACATGTGCAGCCCACTTACATACCTTCCCCGGAGCCACCTGCACCCACCCCACCCTGCCACCCACCTCCTCCTCACACACTGCCAGCTTCAACCCCCTGGAGAGTCCTCCCCCCCTCCTCACCAGGACCCGTGGCCCATCCCAGCTGGAGCAGTGAGGTACTGGACTCTTTCCCCACACTGGCAGGGCCCTGGGCCCGCAGACCCATGCCCCTGTTTTGCGTTTCTTGGCAGGATTTCCCTAGAGATTATGACGTTGCAGCCCCGCTGCGAGGACGTAGAGACGGCCGAGGGGGTAGCTTTAACTGTGACGGGTGTCGCCCAGGTATAGTAACTCAGCAGCCCTGCGCATGTCTGTTGAGCTGCCTCGTCCCTGTGCTGGGGTTTGGGGGGAGGCGGCGAAGACGGCAGCCAGGGGCAGTCTCTCTCTAGCGCCCCTGCCCCTGCCCCCCCAAGAGAGGGTCAGTCGTCGCCACTGGAACATGCTTGCTTGGCCCCCTTGGCCACCCAGCAGGACTAACAAGACACCCCTTCTTTTCTCAGCGGGCCCGCGAGGGACAGAAGCAGTGCTGAGGGCTCCTGTCTCACTAACCCCACCCCCATTCTTTGCAGGTGTTGGAAATGCTAAGCCCCAGAATCCAGGCCTTCCCTGTCCCCTGGGAGGGGGGTGCAGAGGGAGAGACCGTGCGAGGCAGAGGAGCTCTGGGCTCTGGGAATCGGAGGCTGCGGTATAGTTCCATCGGGGGGCCTGGGCGAGGAGCACCCTGCCCTGCTCTACCTCTCGGCGTCACAGGGCAGTGAGGGTCAACCATGTCGCAGGCCTCTGGCGAGGGGGTTGGCTGAGTACTTGAAAAGGAAAGACACCCTTGGTTGTGTCCCCCTGGACCTGTCTCCTGCCCTGTCCAGGCTTCTTTCCTAGTCTGTCTGTCTGTCTGCGCCCCTCTTGCTCGTTCTCCCTTCCTCTCTGCCCCTCAGCCTGAGGATCTCCCACGTGGGGAGCCTGCAGGGGAGGAGTTGGCTAGTGCGGGGACGGGGCTGGAACGGGGAGCCGAGCCCTACGTGCGCAGGAGAGAGGTCGTGTCAGGGCCTGGGGCTGCCGGCGAAGGTGCGGTTTCTCCGTGTCAGGAGGACTCCTCGTGCCGCTGTCTCCCCGCTAGAAGCCGCAGACAGATTCCAGCCCGCCTCCTAGCCCCCAGGGCCTCCAGATATGAAAAAGGAGGGGAGGGGCACAGCCACCACCCTCGACACCTCTGGGTCTGGGACCTCCATCTGCCCCCCACCAGCCTGGCTGAAGCACCTCTGTGACCACTGACAGGTGAAGATCATGACGGAGAAGGAGCTCCTGGCTGTGGCCTGTGAGCAGTTCCTGGGCAAGAACGTGCAGGACATCAAGAATGTCGTCCTGCAGACCCTGGAGGGACATCTGCGCTCCATCCTCGGTGAGGCCCTGTCCAGCCTCCAAAGCCCCTCACAGGGGTCCCCAAGCCAGCGCCAGGGAGGGGGGCGTAGTCCTGGCAAGGGGCCTGTCTCACTGAGTTTTCAGGCTGCAACATTCTCCCTCGAGTCTTTCATTTCAACATGTCAGGTGACATGAGTGAAGGATAGGGCATTGGGATGGGGGGCTGTGGGCTGTTCTCCAACCTGGTGCTGCTCAAGACACTTTTCCCCATCCAGCCTGGACTGGGTGAGGACCCTGGGGATGTTCAGATGGCATCCATGGACAGCCTACACGGCAGGGCCTGGAGAACCAGCACTTCCTTGCTGTCTAGGACATACACAGCTACACATAGCTTTTCCCACCCCCAGCAGCCCTAGACCACCCACGGCCACTTCTCTTCTACCTAGCACAACAGACTGTCTTGTCCAAGTACCTGGACTTACAGCCGGGCCCAGACACTGTCCTGCATGGATGTTCACTGCTAGGGCAGTGCCCTGCAGCCCTTTCTCCACGGGCTTGGTCTCTGGCTCCCTCCTTGCTCCAGGGAGCAGAGCTGGGACAGGAGGGCCACGCCTCTCACTGCAGGTTTGGAAGTGAGAGATGAGGGAGCCCATACCTACTCTTAGGAACCTGGCCTCACACCCAGGCTCCACACCCTCCTTTGGTCTCACCTACGGGAGCCTGCAAGCCCTTCCCATTCCTGCTCCCCTTTCTGAGGAGCAGCCCCTTGCCTGATCCCTGGCCTGCCTGGGGGACATCACCACAGGCTGAGACCTTCTTGCCCTAGGCTGGCAGGAGCCTTTCAGGTAGAAGAGAGGCTTCTAACTCAGCCTGGATCCTCAGCCTCCCCTTCTCAGTATCTTCCACAGCCATCCCACACGCATACCCTCAGGGTCAGCCTCCCCTCCTTTAGGCTCCAGGAAGTCCCTCCTGCTGCACTTGGCTGCCATGTCCTGTACTGTCCTGAAGCCCTGATGTAGGCAGCTCTCTCCCCCTTACCAGAGCAATTCCTCCACCTCCGGCATCTGAGCTGCAGCCTCCCTTCCTCCCTCCTTCCCTCCCTCCCTCCCGCTCCCTCTTTCCTTCTTTCCTTCCCCAGGAGAGAGCTTGGTGGGTTCCTGTCTGAGCTGGGTCGAGAGTCCTCTCGGGCCCAAGGGTGCTAGTGTTAGGCACTCAAATGAAGGCAACCTTTGCACCTCTGCATGGCTGGAGGGAGGTCCCTCCCAGAGCGGAAGTGGGGGCTCCCCATTGCCTCCTGCTGCTTATCCCCCACCCCTATCACCTGCTTCTGCCCCTTTAGCCTCTGTCTTCTCTTCCTTCCTCTGGTTTAAGGAAACCGTCCATGCTGTGCACAGCCTGGCCTCCGCCTGCACACGCACCGCCCTAGGGAGGCCCAGCAGAGTGGGCCAAGGAGCCAGCTTCTAGGTGCCTTGTTTGCTTTGCCAATACTCCTTTCTGCCCATGGCCAACTTTGGAAATTCCCAAGTGAATTACTCCCTCATCTCCCAGTTGTCCCTGAATATTCTGGCAAGAGCACCCTTTCTCCGTGAGCCTTCCTTCACCCCTACTCCCAAATCAGAAAATCCACATTTTTCTTTGGGTTTTTCTGGCACTGCCTTGCCTTGGTTGTGCTGGGTAGTACAAACCTGGAGGTTTTGTGCCCCGAGCAGGATCCGGTATTTGCTGAGGCTCATTAGTCCCCAGAGTGGCCTCTGCCTCCCACTTTCTGGAAACACAGGTTTGCCTGTGTTAGGAGGGTGGGCTAAGGCTAAGTCTCTCAGATTGTGACAGGAATCTGCTGGGAAGGTGAGGTGGTGGGCAACCCAGGTGCTCTGGGCAGAGGCCTTCTGACCTCAAGCCGTCAGCCCAGGGCATTAGCAGGCATCACCCCCAGCCCATGGGCCTAGCAGCACCTCCACAGAAGGGTTTGGGGGCTAGAGAAGAGACCCAGAAGCCTCAGGCCAGCAAGGGGGTGTCTCTGCTCTCCTGCGGCCCTAGGCTGAGCTGGCAGTGGGGGGTTGAAGTATGGAGAGCACCCCCACCCCGCCCCAGGCATCAGTGCTTGTCTGGTAACCACTGTGTGTGTTTGCTGTGTCCCCTCCTACCCCTTCCTGTCCCTACCTCTCCCTATCCCCTGGCTGCTCCTCAGACTGTCTCTGGAGGTTATGACCATCCTGTGTCGCTGTGAGAATATTGAGACGTCGGAGGGGGTCCCGCTATTCGTAACAGGGGTTGCACAGGTAATAACCCACCTGCTTCCTCCTCTGTGTCTAACCTTCTCTCTCCCTGCCCTGCGGGGCCTGGCAGGCAGGAGCCGGCGGACTCCCCTCCTGAGAGTGTGCCTCCCCTCCTTTCTCTCCTCGGCTGCTCTGGGTGCCAGGACGTAGAGCCCCAGGGCCCCTGCCCTTGCCCATTGGGACTGCAAGGGGGGAAGGAGCGAGGGATTCTGGAAGCTCTGCCCCAGCCTGCCAGTGAGTGACCTTGGATGCCAAGCCTTCACTACCGTGCAGCCATAGCTGGCGAAATCTATTCTTGGGCCAGGGTGCTAAGTAACTCCCGGTGCCTCGTCCGTAACGTGCAGGTCCCCAGCATCATTGCTTCATTTACCAGCTCTCCATTGAGCACCTTCTCAGTCTCAGGCACTTGGAATGCAGCAGCAAACATCAAAAAGCCCCTGCCCCTCAGAGCCCATGTGCCAGTGGGTCCCCAGGCTGGAAGACGCCTAAACAGCATCTTCCTCATCCCCCTCCCTCCGCACTAAATTGCCCTTCGGCCTGCTCAGGCGAAAGTCCTGCACCACCACTCCCTTCCTCTGCCATCTCTAATCGAGAAGGGGACCGTCCCCATCTTATCAGCCCTGGTAGCCGTGGAAGAGCAGTCTAGCGCAGAGGCCTGAGAAGCTCAGCGCACCTTGTGTGGAATGGGTAGGGTCCAGGTCTCCAGCATCCCCTTTGAAGCAGCCCTTTCCCCTCCAAACCCACTGCTACACTCGAAACCTCTGCAGACGCCCAGGTCCCTTTCAAGCTGGGCGATTGTGGACACTTGAGGAGTCGTACCGTCTGGGCAGAGCAACTCTTTCTAGGGTTTCTAGGGCTCACACTCCTTGGCCAGGAGGCTCTGGTATGACCCGATTGACCCAACCGGGGTGGGTTTCAAGTCACAGGCTGTTGCCAGGTGAAGGGACCAGGTAGGGCTTCCCTAGCAAGGGGCAGGTGCAGGATCACTTCCACATTGGCCCAGCAGTTGGCATACTCCCAGCATGCCGGGATGAGGCAGAGCCTTCTAGGCAGCTTCCTGGGACATCCCGGGGTGCAGCGTAGACCCAGGGGATGGGTGAGGACCCTGGGGATGTTCAGATGGCATCCATGGACAGCCTACACGGCAGGGCCTGGAGAACCAGCACTTCCTTGCTGTCTAGGACATACACAGCTACACATAGCTTTTCCCACCCCCAGCAGCCCTAGACCACCCACGGCCACTTCTCTTCTACCTCCTTTTCCTCGCAGCCACAGAAGGAGGCTCAGTACTAAACGCTGTTGAGAAAGATCCAGCTCAGACTGCACAACCCCTGCACACATCCAGACCTCTGCATGCATGCCTTCTCCCTTTCCCAGCTGGCTGGGCCCCTGGAGAGCCAGTCCATGATCCCTCTGCCCCCAGGGACCCTGACTGTGGAGCAGATTTATCAGGACCGGGACCAGTTTGCCAAGCTGGTGCGGGAGGTGGCAGCCCCTGACGTTGGCCGCATGGGCATTGAGATCCTCAGCTTCACCATCAAGGTACGGTGTGATGGGGAGGCTGACCCCCGTAGCATCCGCCTGGGAGATGGGGGCTTGGCTAGAGGGACACCTGTATGCCTCTGGCTGTCCCTGTGTGCCTGTGACTCCCGCTTCCCTCCCCAGGATGTCTATGACAAAGTAGACTATCTGAGCTCCCTGGGCAAGACGCAGACTGCCGTGGTACAGAGAGATGCTGACATTGGCGTGGCCGAGGCAGAGCGGGACGCAGGCATCCGGGTATGTGACATTTCCTTCCCACCCCCAGGGATAGAAAGCTCAGAGGTGATAGGACCATGGTCACTCAGGGGACCCTCAGCACCTGCCCCTCCTGCTCTTAGGAAGCCGAGTGCAAGAAGGAGATGCTGGACGTGAAGTTCATGGCAGACACCAAGATCGCCGACTCCAAGCGAGCCTTCGAGCTGCAGAAGTCAGCCTTCAGTGAGGAAGTCAACATCAAGGTGAGAAGCCGGAGGGCATCCCGGGTTGGGGCTCAGGGCTCAGGACTTGGTGACCAGCCTCTAATGCCGACCACCCTCTTGCCACAGACAGCAGAGGCCCAGTTGGCCTACGAGCTGCAGGGGGCCCGTGAGCAGCAAAAGATCCGGCAGGAAGAGATCGAGATTGAAGTTGTACAACGCAAGAAGCAGATTGCAGTGGAGGCGCAGGAGATCTTGCGCACAGACAAGGAGCTCATCGCCACGGTGCGCCGCCCTGCCGAGGCCGAGGCCCACCGCATACAGCAGATCGCCGAGGGTGAAAAGTGAGAGCCGCCCCAGGTGCTGGGGTCAGGGGTCAGAGGAGGTTTGAGGGCCTGGCGTAGTGCCTGGCACAGAGGGCATCCTGGTTAGTCCCTCCTTCCACTTGTAGCTAGGAGCCGGTGGCCTCTCCCTGGCCACAGCCAGGAGGCCTGGGGACCCACCCCCTTCAAATGTTTCCCACCCCTGACATCCACCAGAGCAGAGGGCTTGAGGGTTTACTAGCCCCAGGCAAAGCTTGAGGGGACCTTGGCATCTCCCACTGACCCTGTCCGGCCTGGGCTCCCCCAGGGTGAAGCAGGTCCTCTTGGCACAGGCAGAGGCTGAAAAGATCCGCAAAATCGGGGAGGCAGAGGCCGCGGTCATCGAGGCGATGGGCAAGGCAGAGGCTGAGCGGATGAAGCTCAAGGCTGAAGCCTACCAGAAGTATGGGGATGCAGCCAAGATGGCCTTGGTGCTGGAGGCCCTGCCCCAGGTGAGGCCGCCACCCCAGGTTGGGACCCGAGGGTCATGTGTCCTCCCTTGATGAGCTGGGCAAATGCCAGAACTTCTCTGGGCCTTGTCAGTAACACAGCAACAGGCAGCCAGAAGGATTAAATGGGGAGAGTACTCAGCAGCCGGACAGGAGCCCTCCAGCTGGCCTCTCCTACCATGGCTCAAAAATAAGGGCCGCCTGGGCTGCTGTGGGCTTTGGGGGAGCTGGAGGCGGGAGGGAGTCAGAGCACCAGCCAAGCTCTCCTCCCACTCCGCCTCCTAGATTGCTGCCAAAATCGCTGCCCCACTGACCAAAGTCGATGAGATCGTGGTCCTCAGTGGGGACAACAGCAAGGTCACATCAGAAGTGAACCGGCTGCTGGCCGAGCTGCCTGCCTCCGTGCACGCCCTCACAGGTGTGGACCTGTCTAAGGTACGTGCCTCCCGAGCTGCGGTGGGGTTGCCTGGGCAGCCCATTGGACTGGCCCAGGCGGAGCGGTCCTGGGCCCCAAGGCCAAGGCCTCATGGCACCTCCCATCCTTGCAGATACCACTGATCAAGAAGGCTACCAGTGCACAGGTGTGAGGTTCCAGCAGCCCACACCCTTCAGCAGCCGCCTGCCCCTCCCTCCAGCATCCATTTTAATACCACGGGGACAGTGGGAGCGTTACTGACTCTGGTGCCTTATTTTGTAGGGACCAGAAGTGCTGCGTGTTCAGGCCATCTCTGGCTGTCTTCCCTTCTCTCCTGTCTCTGTCCATCTCTTCCTCTTCCTCTCCTCTCCCCCACACCCCCACTTTCACTGCCACGTTCATCTGGTTTGTCTCTCATCTCCCTGTGTGTCTCTTCCTTTGTCGGTCTTTCTCTCTCCTCTCCTCCCACCCACTACGCACATCATGTAGTCTGAGCTGAAGATGTTTATTATAATCACTGTCTGTCTGTGGAGGGTGGCCCTGCTGCTCCTCCAAATCCTGGTGCCTTGAAGTTCTCTGTGCATCTGTCCGTCCTCCCCATGACCCTGGCCAGAGCTCAGCATGGGTGCGGGGGTTCTGGGTAGGACGGCCACTCTCCCCTCTCCTGGCCTGGTCTTTGCAGCCCTAAACCCTGCCCCAGGAAGCCCATGGCCTCACCTGCTCCTGCCCCTCTAGGCCTGGGCAGCCATGGCCTGCAGGGCCCAGGGCTGTCACCCTTCCCCTCATCCCTTCCCAGGCCCAGGCTGGCACTCATACTCTATCCTCTCTCCCCACCCCAGGGGCACAGAGGCAAGGCCTCTTGTCTCTAGCAGTTTCCTCAGTTTACTACTGCCTTAGGAGGCCCCTGCTTGTGCTCAGGGAAGTCCTCTTCATGGGCATGTCCCTGCTGGGGTGGTGGGGCTTGGTCCCAACTCTGCTATGCCTTTCTGGGATCAGGGTCTAGCCCTGCTGGGGACAAGAAAGCATGTAGACCCTCTTCCTGCCTGAAGGTTTTGGGCCCTTCCAGTGGGCAAGGATGTGCCAACCCTGTGCAGAACTGAGTGCCGTAGACTGGCCAGACCCCATAGCCCTTGTACCATCTTTCTTCCTGGCCAGACTGATAGGGCTCCAGCCATGGGAAAGCAGCCCAGTCCTCTGTCTCCTTGCTCCAATGGAGGCGGGAGAACCCAGAGCCCAAACATCCTGGCAGGGGTGCTGCGGGCGTCCTACCGTCCCAGTTCCCCACCCCTGGCCCTGCCCCAGCCTGTGTAGCTGTTCCTGCATGTGGATGCTGCATGTCTGGTCTGGGGCTTGGATGTTGCACTGCCCCACTGCCTGTCCCTTCTGATAAAATAAAGATCTCTAGTGCCCAGACCCTGCGTTGTGTCTTCTGTGAGGGGAGAGGCTGGGGCCAAGAACCAATCAGGTACTCCATCCATACACCCCTTCAGCCTCAAGGCTGCTCTTAGCCTGTTCTTCTCCACCCTAGCCACTGAGGGGCATCAGCACACTGGCCTTGTCCCCAGTGGTAGCCTGGGACATGGCTGCCATTGGCCAGGGTGCTGAGATCAGACCTGAGCCCTGGAAGACCTGGCTCTGCTGCAGGTAGGTGGAGGGGGCAACCAGCTTCACTGCATCTCCGTACCAGTCCTGAGCTCTACTAAGTAAGGGAAGCTACCTCTCAGGCTTAAGAGCATGAACTCAGCAAGGTGGGAGGATCACTTGAGGCCAGGAGTTCGAGACCAGCCTGAGCAAAATAGTGAGGACCTATCTGTACAAAAATTTTAAAATTAGCCTGGCATGGTGGCGTGTGCATGTAGTACTAGCTACTCAGGAGGCTGAAGCAAGAGGATTGCTTAAGCCCAGGATTTGGAGGGTGCAGTGAGTGATGATCATGCCATAGCACTCCAGCCTGGACAACAAAGCAAGACCCTGACTCAAAGAAAAGGCTGGGAGCATGAAATCTGAAGTCAGGCAGTTTGGCTTTAAATTTCAGCTCTGTTGTTTTTTTTTTCAATAATGTTTTTTTGTTGTTGTTTTTTTTATTTTTTGAGACAGAGTCTCACCGTTTTGCCCGGGCTAGAGTGAGTGCCGTGGCGTCAGCCTAGCTCACAGCAACCTGACACTCCTGGGCTCAAGCAATCCTTCTGCCTCAGCCTCCCGAGTAGCTGGGACTACAGGCATGCGCCACCATGCCCGG